CGGAGGGGGGAAACGGCTCCTGGAGGGGGCAAGAATGGCTCTTGGAGAGGGGAAAACCAGCTTTCGGAGGGGGAAAAACGGCTCTTGGAGGAGAAAAATGGCTCAAGGGGGGAAATGGCTCCTGGAGGGAGCAAGAATGGCTCTTGGAGGGGGGAAACAGCTCTTGGAGAGGGAAAAGCAGCTTTCAGTGGGGGTAAACTGGCTCTCAGAGGGGGAAAAATGGCTCTGGGAGGGGGGAAACAGCTCTTGGAGAGGGAAAAGCAGCTTTCAGTGGGGGTAAACTGGCTCTCAGAGGGGGAAAAATGGCTCTGGGAGGGGGGAAACAGCTCTTGGAGAGGGAAAAGCAGCTTTCAGTGGGGGTAAACTGGCTCTCAGAGGGGGAAAAATGGCTCTGGGAGGGGGGAAACAGCTCTTGGAGAGGGAAAAGCAGCTTTCAGTGGGGGTAAACTGGCTCTCAGAGGGGGAAAAATGGCTCTGGGAGGGGGGAAACAGCTCTTGGAGAGGGAAAAGCAGCTTTCAGTGGGGGTAAACTGGCTCTCAGAGGGGGAAAAATGGCTCTGGGAGGGGGGAAACAGCTCTTGGAGAGGGAAAACCAGCTTTCAGTGGGGGTAAACTGGCTCTCAGAGGGGGAAAAATGGCTCTGGGAGGGGGGAAACAGCTCTTGGAGAGGGAAAACCAGCTTTCAGTGGGGGTAAACTGGCTCTCAGAGGGGGAAAAATGGCTCTGGGAGGGGGGAAACAGCTCTTGGAGAGGGAAAACCAGCTTTCAGTGGGGGTAAACTGGCTCTGGGAGGGGGAAGATGGCCCTTGGAGGTGGAAAAATGGCCCTTGGAGGGTGAATGGCCCTTGAAGGTGGGGCAAATGCCTCCTGGAGGGGTCACACACTGCACAAAAAGGGGTGTTTCTACCCCACACCACCCCCGCTCACCCCAAAACCCCATCCCCGAGGAGGGGGCCGGACCGTTCGGCGCTGGCACCTCTTGGCTCACACCCTTCCCTCTTCCTCTCTTTTCCAGGATACCGTTCAAGATCGGGCAGCCCAAGAAACAGATTGTACCCAAGACAGTGAGTAAACCAGGGTTTTTTTTAATTTTTTATTTTTTTAAATTTTTTTCCCCGCGGCCCCCCCTCCTTTCTTTTTTTTTCTGGGTTGTTTTTTTTTTTTCCTATTTTTTTTTTTTTTTAGCTCCCAGCCTTTGATCATGTGGCTGATGAGTCAAACCCCAGCACTTTTTTGACTCGTCCCATTTTGCGAGCGGGGCGCGTGTGCGCGCGCGTGGGAGGGCGATGGGAGCCAGCAGAACCTGTTGCTGCCTGTGACCAGCGTCGAGTTCCTCGTGCAGGGAACGAGGGGGAGCCCCCAAGTATTTTTGGGGTTGGGATCTGGGGGTTTTTTCTTTATTTTTTTATTTTTTTTTGGGGGAGAAGGGGGGGGAACGGGTGAGGGGAAGAGCTCTTTCGGTCTGGGGAGAAGGGGGGGAAACGGGTGAGGGGAAGAGCTCTTTCGGTCTGGCACGGTTTTCCTGGGAGATGGCTGAACAGGGCTTCCTTCCTTCCTTCCTTCTTTCAGCAATGGCTTGTTTGTTCATCCTTTTCTGAGCAGATGGAGGAGGAGGAGTGGTTCAGATCGCTGAATATAACTGTTTCCAAAGAAAGGCTTATAAGCTGAGATGCTTAGTGCTCAGGCGTGAATTAATTTGTGCTGCACAGCATTTGCTTTAAAAGCAAATTAAAAAAGCATTTTTGTCTTCTCGGGTCTTTGCGACTCCCTATCCCAAGTGCTGTTGCTTGCAGCTGGCTGTGGTATTTTCCCTTCTGAAACAGATGGTCCTCCCCTTTGTCCTGGGTGAAAAAAAGCTGCTGGGGGACCTCACAGTAGCTGTTCCCTTCAAAATTAACCTCTGGACCTGCTCTAAAATAAATACCCCCACAGACAGAGCCCGTGGGGACTTTGTCTTTCGAACGGTGACCTAATCCCTCCAACAGACCAACATCTCTGATCCTTCTTCTCCGGGATGCTCAGGGCAGTTAATTCCTCGGGGTGCGTGGGCATTCCTCTTGATGGGGGTTTCTCCTCAGGACATGACATTTTCCCCTGGAGGCGAAGGGCTAATTCCACCACTCCCTTCATTCAGGGCTTGATTGTCATGTTTTATTTTAAAGGATTTGGGAAGTTGTCTGCTGCTGCTCGTCGTGGTGGAGCAGCAATTTGCTGTAACGGCTCAAAACTGTCAGTACAAGATTTAAGCCAGGCAGGAGATGGAGACGAGGGCTGATAAAATCCTTCAGTAGGTTTTGCAGCTTTTCAGCTGCCCCTTTTTCCAGCTGGAGGAAGAAAGGTCCCCTTCAGGTCTTGGCACCCATTCCCCTTCCATTCAGGACACCCCACATTCCATTTTTTCTCCATGAGATTTTGCCTCTCGTCCTCTTTTCCTGGTGTTCCCAGCTCCGGTGTCCTTCCAGGCTCTTGCAGGAACCAACTGCTCTGCAGCTCTGGGTGTCTTGGCCAGCTTTCTTGGCCGTCTCCATCCCACCCGTTCTCACATCCAAGTTGACTCTTATTTTCTCTCTTGCCAGCGCTTGCTGATTTCCCTCTGCTCCTGCAGCCTTTGGTGTTGGGAGAGGTTTCTCCAAAAGGCCTCTTCTCCCCCCTGTGCCCTCCCTGGCCCCCGAAATCAGCCCTCCCCGAGCCGTGGCAGGAGCTTGGGCTCCCTGCAGAGGAACAGTTCCACCTTGGAGAGCTTGTCTTCCCCTCAGCTGCTGGGATGTGCTGTTCTGAGCTGCACTTGGCAGGCATTGCTTTTATACATATATATATATATATGTGTGTGTGTGTGTATTAAATAGAACAGCTCAGAATATCCGGCAGGCAGAGGTTCGTTCAGTAGCACAAGCATTTCCAGGCCTTTTTCCTTCCTTCCCTTCCCTTTTCCTTCCCTTCCCTTTTCCTTCCCTTCCCTTTTCCTTCCCTTCCCTTTTCCTTCCCTTCCCTTTTCCTTCCCTTCCCTTTTCCTTCCCTTCCCTTTTCCTTCCCTTCCCTTTTCCTTCCCTTCCCTTTTCCTTCCCTTCCCTTCCCCTTCCCTTCCCTTCCCCTTCCTTTCCCCTTCCTCAGCTCCCCAAGAAGAACAAGTAGTTTCTGTATCAACAACTCAGTCGCTCAGAGTCAGATGCCGATTTTTAATCGGCTTCCACTTGCCGTGTGTTGATGATGATGATGATGCTGCTGATGCTCTCCAGGCAGCAGATACATGGCAAGCAGAAAACAGGAAGCCCAAACTCTTTGCAAAACCTCACAGTAAGTGTAAAAGGCGGCTCTTCAACTTGAAGAACAAGTAATTTCTGTGTCAACATCTCAATCGCTCAGAGTCAGATGCCGATTTTCAATCGGCTTCCACTTGCCGTGTGTTGATGATGATGATGATGATGATGATGCTCTCCAGGCAGCAGATACATGGCAAGCAGAAAACAGGAAGCCCAAACTCTTTGCAAAACCTCACAGTAAGTGTAAAAGGCGGCTCTTCAAAGGAGAACAAACGGCAGGAAACCACCGATCTCCCCCGGGAGCGAGGCGTTCAGCATGATGATGATGCTGCTGATGCTCTCCAGGCAGCAGATACATGGCAAGCAGAAAACAGGAAGCCCAAACTCTTTGCAAAACCTCACAGTAAGTGTAAAAGGCGGCTCTTCAAAGGAGAACAAACGGCAGGAAACCACCGATCTCCCCCGGGAGCGAGGCGTTCAGCCTCGGGGTGTGGAAGCCTTGGGGCTGCTTTGTAGCTTTTAGCTCCCCTCGACTTTACCCTCCCGGTCGTTGAGATGCACCATCTGTGCAGGCTTTTGGGAAGGGCTGGGGGGGGAACAGCCGAGGTCTGTGATATTCCAGATGTTGGCCTCTGGAGCCCGCCGCAGGAAGCGGGAAGGTGGGGCATCTCCAAGGGCCGCATCCCCAGCCCATCGGAAGGGAAGTGGTTGCGGGTTGAGGATCTCCCACTCGCAGAGATTGGACCACAAAAGAGGGAGGGAGGGAGAGAGGGAGGCAATGAGGGGGGGGAATAAAAAAACAAGCAAAGCATTTGTTAAAATCGAACTTATTTGGCTCTCCAGGAGGGGGGTAACTGGAGTGCAGGAGAGGGGAGAATCGCTTCAATGAGAGAGGTTTCTCTCCCTCTCTCCCCAGCCAGCCTTTTTTTTTTTTTTTTTTTCCCCTCTTCTCGATGAAAAGATGCTGGGGCTGGTGTCAAATCTAGGCCGGCAGTAGTCCTGAAAAGCAATTTGCCTCAGCTGCAGAGGGAATTAGTCATGACTCCCCATGCCCACTCGCTTCTGATCCTTTGAAGAAGGGCATGGTGTCAGGCACAGTTGAGCTCTTCAGGTAGAAGGAAACCCCCGTAAGAAGAGAGAGCGGCTGGTGAACTGAAGTGATCTCCCACACCCCCCCCCCCAGACGTGCCTCTGCTTTGTTTCCACCTTAACCTGGGCAAATCCAATTCCAGACGGCCTAATCTTCTCCCCTCCTCTCCCCTGAAAAGAGCATCTGTCACCGGGCTGGCCAAGAGAGGCCAGGAGCTGGGTGGGAGGATCTAATGCCCAGAGAAGGACCTGCTGTCAGCAGAGCCACGGAGGACACCGGACCAACAGCCCAATTAAACTAATGCCCAGTGATAGGAGTTAAACCTGTTAGAATTATATCTCTCTGCAGAATGTTTATGAAGCCTCTTAGGGCGGAGATGTTCTTCCCTCCCCCAGGCCAACGTCGGTCCCAAGCAGAGGTTACGCTGGAACCAGGGCTTGTCTCCCCAGCTCTCCTGCAGCTCCAGCTCGCTGAAGTTCAGCCACGTCACCCCGAGGTTGTACCTTGCTCTTCACCAGGGTTTGGCTTATCCGAGCAGGCAGGTGGCCAAGGAGAAGAGCCGGCCACGCGTCCCCACGGGGCTCAGAGCCGGGTTGGAAGCTGGAGGAAGCCACCCAGCTCCCATTCCCTCTTGGGACAAGGACAGTGCACAGCCCTTGAGGGGTCACCCGGGTTTTACCCAGAATCACAGAATCTTCTAGGTTGGAAGGGCCCTCAAAGATCATCTTGTCCAACCGTCAACCCAACTGACAAAAATAGACCCCCACACAACAAACAAGGAGCATCATCACTAAACCAGACCTCCCAGCACTACATCAACCCGGCTTTTGAACACCTCCAGGGATGGGGCCTCAACCCCCTCCCTGGGCAGCCCATTCCAATGGCTGATGACCCTTTCAGTGACAAAATTTTTCCTAATATCCAGCCTGAACCTCCCCTGGGGCAACTTGAGGCCGTTTCCTCTCGTCCTGTCGCCTGTGACTTGAGAAAAGAGACCGACCCCCATCTCTCTACACCCTCCTTTCAGGGAGTTGGAGAGAGCAAGAAGGTCTCCCCTCAGCCTCCTCTTCTCCAGGCTGACCACCCCCAGCTCCCTCAGCCTCTCCTCATAAGACTTATTCTCCAGACCCCTCACCAGCTTTGTCACCCTTCTCTGGACCCGCTCCAGCCCCTCAATGTCTTTTTTATGGTGGGGGGCCCAAAACTGGACACAGCACTCGAGGTGAGGCCTCACCAGTGCCGAGTACAGGAGGACGAGTACCCCTTCTTCCTTCTCTCTCTCTCTCCCTGCCTGGGCTGACTCAGAAGGCTGTCTGCCTTCCTCCTCCTCCTCCTCCTCCTTCTCCTCCTCCTCCTTGCTGGCTAACCTTGGGTGAGTCAGCTTGGCAGGGAGCGGAGACCTGAGCCGCGGCCCCGTGCCGCCCGCCAAACCTCCCTGCCCTGACTCATCCCGGCAGCTCTGCCTTCCCCAGGGATGTGGGATGGAGGATTCCACTCCAGCTGCTGGCCCTCAGCTCCTTTCCACGGGGGCTCCACCAGCCAGCTGGAAATCCCCAAATCACAGAGTCAACGGGGCAGAAACGGCGGGGTGAGATCTAGTGAGGCCAGATAGATGGTTTTACTCCTTTTCCCTCTCTTCTTCGATCTTCAGGGGGATGTAACCAGTCTCTGTGGTTTGGAGGAGCATCCCCCGTGCCACTTAAGCAGCCTTTCTTGACATTTTCTCACCAGACAGAGATCTGGAGAGCCTGCTGGGTGGTGGAACCCATAAAATCCCAGATACACCTGGACTCTTTCAGCTCCGGCCTCTGCCATCGAACACAGAGCGAATATTCCCCCACATTACTCACTTCAAATCTCTTGCTTGATGGGGTGGCGAAAGCTCAGCAGAAGTTCCAGGTTGTAGCAGAATTTCTGGCCTAATTATATGGGTTTCTTGCATATTTTTTTTCAGAGAGGAGGGAGGAGGAAGCGTACGCTTTCCTCTTTTTTTTTTCCCCAAGACCCACGAAGAGGCTGAGACCACTGGAACATGTAGAAATCAGCTAGTCCTCCTCCTCCTCCAGGAAAAGAAATTAACCTCAGGGGAATGAGAAGGTTCATCACAGTCCCTTATTTCCATCTCTTTGTAGTGTTGGCTTTGGTCTTGCTCCGTTGCCTTGTAACCATGGTGTCGATTCTGATATTGCCCTTCAAGCAGGAGGGATGTTATCGCAGGTGGAAGGCCCAGTGTTTGCAAACAACAGCAAAAAAAAAATAACCGGGGTGCGAAAAGGGAAAGAACGGCGTTTTTATTTCAGTGCTCTTAAGAACTCGTCGTTCTTTCTGTAGATTTAAATAAAAACCCGGAGAGGAGCAATCTTGCATTAAACCAGCCCCTATGCCTAGAAGAAAAAGCGTTCCGTAGAGAAACACGTTTTGATTTTGGAGGTTTTTTTTCAGAGAGGCTGCAGAGAAGTGGGATTCTTTTAATATTACGGAAACTTCCCTTCGGGATATTGTAATTTTCTTGCCTGTACTTCTCGTTCTCCTTACTCTTAATGTGATAATCCTATCCCTAGGTTTCGCAGTGAGTGTCAGGGACGGGTGGCCACCTACTGCATATGGGGGACCTCTGGTCCTCGCTTCTTGTGTCCCGATGCCAACGGGAGCAGTGATTGCCTGGGAGGGCCTCCAGCAGATGATGACTGGGAGCCAGTTGCTCCCGTGGGCGTGAAAAATAAGAGCAATCCTTGGGCAGCTGCCTGGGCAGGGATGGGGCTGGGGACGTGAGTCAGGCTGGGGAGCCGCCTCCTGGAGTCACCTCCGTAGAAAACGTAGAGGGTAATTGGGGTTGGGGGTTTCGGGGAAAGTTGGGAACCCTGGAAGGTGATCAGAAGGCCACGGAGATGCTGGGAGGGCTGGAGCCCCTCTGCTGGGAGGGGGGGATGAGAGAGTTGGGGGGTTCAGCCTGGAGAAGAGAAGGCTCTGGGGAAACCTCAGAGCCCCTTCCAGTCCCTCAAGGAGCTCCAGAAGAGACTCTTGATGAGGGAGGGGAGCCCTAGGATGAGAAGGAACAGTTTTAAACCAAAAATTAGGAGATGGAGATGAGATTTTGGGAGGAAATTAATTCTTCCCCCTGAGGGTGGTGAGAGCCTGGCCCAGGTTGCCCCAAGAAGCTGTGGCTGCCCCATCCCTGGAGGGGTTCAAGGGCAGGTTGGAGGGGCTTGGAGCAACCTGGGCTGGTGGGAGGTGTCCCCTATGATATTAGGAAGAAATTCTTTATTGTGAGGGTGGTGAGAGCCTGGTCCAGGTTGCCCCAAAAAGCTGTGGCTGCCCCATCCCTGGAGGGGTTCAAGGGCAGGTTGGAGGGGGCTTGGAACAACCTGCTCTGGTGGGAGGTGTCCCTGCCCAGGGCAGGAGGTTAGAACTTGATGATCTTTAAGGTCCTTTCCAACCCCAACCATTGCATGATTCTCTGAGAGAAGAGACCCTCCCAACCCTGGAGCAGACTGGAGCCAGGAGCAGGGTTCCACCAGCCTTCAAAGGACATATTTTTGAGTCGTGCCCGAGCCTCTCTCTGGTTTGAAACCAAAACAATTCACACATAAGGCGTATAAATAGAGTGCAATACTCCCTGGTTATTTTAGCAGCCGGAACAGCCATAGAAATCGAGGGTGATTTTTTTTATTTATTTTTTTTTTTACTATGTGCTGGTTACCTGACCTCCAGGCACCAGCTGCTGCGGATTTCTGCAGAACTGTGAAGTGGGCAGAAGCCGTGTGAGCTGCCCCCACACTGCTCCATGGCTCCAGAGACCATTTTTAGCAGCTCGAAAGGGAGTCGGAGCTGGGCAGAGAGTGGTTTTTTTTAATTTGGGGGGGGAGAGCCAGCACGTGTCTCCCTCCCCCCGGATGGTGGGAGCTGATGGTGTGGACAGCTGGGGCTGAGACTCAGCACGCTCGTTGCGCCCGTCACCGTTTGCCCTCGAATCGGGGTTGAAATGTGTCTGAAAGTGCACATGGAAAAGATATTTAGAAAAAGTGTTTAGTTGACCGTGAGGCAGCGATGTGAGCTGGTGGCCAAGAAGGTCAGTGGTCTCCTGGGGTGGCCAGCAGGTCCAGGGAGGTCATCCTCCCCCTCTGCTCTGGAGAAGTCTGGAGCACTGGGACCGGTTCTGGGCTCCCCAGTTCCAGAAGGACAGGGAACTGCTGGAGAGGGGACAGCAGAGGCTCCAGAGATGAGGAGGGGCCTGGAGCATCTCCCTTACGAGGAAAGGCTGAGGGACTTGGGGCTTTTGAGTGTGGAGAAGAGAAGGCTGAGGGGGGATCTCATCGATGCTGAGCAAGAGCTAAAGGGTGGGGGGCAAGAGGATGAGGCCAGGCTCTTCTCAGTGGTGCCAGGGATAGGACAAGGGGTGATGGGCACAAACTGGGACACGGGAAATTCCATCAGAACATGAGGAGGAACTTCTTTGCTGTGAGGGTGGCAGAGCCCTGGCAGAGGCTGCCCAGGGAGGTGGTGGGGTCTCCTTCTCTGGAGACATTCAAACCCACCCGGACAGGTTTCTGTCCAACCTGCTGTGGGTGGCCCTGCTTTGGCAGGGGGTTGGAGGAGATGATCTCCAGAGGTCCCTTCCAACCCCATATCATTCTGTTATTCCATGAAAAGGAGGTTTCAGGAAAGCCAGGCAGAGGCTCCAGAGATGAGGAGGGGCCTGGAGCATCTCCCTTACGAGGAAAGGCTGAGGGACTTGGGGCTTTTGAGTGTGGAGAAGAGAAGGCTGAGGGGGGATCTGATCAACACCTCTAAATACTGAAAGGGTGGGTGTCAGGAGGATGGGGCTGGTCTTTTTTCAGTGGTGCCCAGGGACAGGACAAGAGGGAATGGGCACAAACTTGAACATAAGAAGTTCCATCTCAACATGAGGAGGAACTTCTTCACTTTGAGAGTGGCAGAGCCCTGGCAGAGGCTGCCCAGAGAGGTGGTGGGGTCTCCTTCTCTGGAGACATTCCAACCCACCTGGACACGTTTCTATCCAACCTGCTCTGGGTGGCCCTGCTTTGGCAGGGGGTTGGAGGAGATGATCTCCAGAGGTCCCTTCCGACCCCATAGCATTCTGTGATTCCGTGAAAAGGAGGTTTCAGGAAAGCCAGGCTCACTGCGCTCCGTCTTAAAATACTGTATTTTCCGTAGTGATTTTGATTGAAAAGCAACTGTCCCTCTTCAGCCTTCTCCTTTCACCTAGCTCCTGGGTTTGAAATCCCGAGGGCAGCGTGAAGATTTGGAAACCAACCTTTGGATCCTTCTCATCCTGGCTGCTCCCAACTCTTCGCGTTTCCTCAGTAGCGTGGTGGCTTGACAACCCGAAACGAGCCCGGTTTTGATCCCATGACAACAAAAGTGCATGTATTTACTCTTGGCCCGGTCAATTGAATTGAAACCCATTCGCTGATTGGGTCGGCGAGGTGTGGAAGGAATGTTTGAAGTGTGTGTTAAAAACCAGTCAGCGTGGAAGGAAAGTTCCTTAAAATATCTCGTGTATCGCTGGAGATTTGCTGCCAGATAGCAAGTAGGAGGAAGCAGTCATTGATGTAGCAGCAGGAGAAGGCTGTTCTTGAGCTCTGAGCTCTTCACCAGGGCAGGTTTCTCCTCCATTTGCGAGGTGCCACAGGCCGTTTGGACTTGGAGCTCTTGAAGGAATGAGGAGAGTCTCGAGGGGGCGAATGATCTTGAGATGGAGGGCTCAACAGGGTGAAAAAAACCCTAGTAAGGGGGTGAAAAAGCCCATTCCTGTTGAGGATGGGGAAGGAGAGGGTTGTTGGGTGGGGGTCTGGCAGCCAGCCATGGGCAGAACCACCACGGGGAGAAGGAGAAGCCTCTGGAAGAGAAAATTCATCCCCCAAGTTGCGATCTCTCTGCTTTTAAGGCATCCCCATTTCCTCCTTCGCCTTTCCAATTCATCTGCTGGAGAGCACATCCCTGGAATGAGCTGATGCAGTTGGTGGTGGTGTCTTTTGCTGGGAGAGAGTCTGAAATTCAAAAAAAACCAACAAACCAAAAACCCAAAAACCCACCCAAGGCTTCATTTCCTTTGGAAGCGTTACTCCCATTATAGCTGCAGCTCGTCCTTCCCTGCCTTCTTCACGTAGGCATTTCCCCAGGACAGGTTTCCCTGCCCCTGTGGCTTTGAACTGATTTCCATCTCCTTCTTTCCACAGGTAGAGAGAGACTTTGAAAGGGAATATGGAAAGCTCCAGCAGTGAGTATCACCCACACCGGTAAAACAGGCCCAGTAACATACTTCTCCCTTGTGCCTTCTTCTTCCCAGGAAATTTTAGCCAGTCCTGCTCTTCCCAACAAATCACCCGCTGCCCTGTAATTTCTAATTCTTCAGAGTTTCTCTGGGTGTTCAAAGGTGTCCTAAGAAGTATTTGCAGCAGTGGGGCTGAGGTTTGCAGATTAAGGCAGCTCGGAAGTAAAGAGTGTTAAAATTGCCAGAAAACCATGGTTGGGGGGGGTGGGGAAGGTGTGTCACCGAAACAGCTCAACACCCTTGAGGACAAATAGTGGTTTTACCCCACCAAGGGTGTCCCAGAAGCTCACATTTATCATCCAGAAGCGTTTGGCTTTCCCCTTTGTGGCAAGTTTGAGGATTTAAGAAAATATGTGACTTTAGAATAAGAGATTACCGACCCAAAAAGGTTGAAAAACCCATCTGAAAACAACCCCAAAAGGCTGGGCAGGGTGGAACTTCACAGAGCCTTGCCTGGATATTTTTAACTCCCACCAGAAGCCAGCATATTCTGCCCGTAAATGATTTGTTGCACGTTTATGAGACACTTCGCTTTGTTTCTTTCCAAGATTCAGACTTTGCCTTGTTCCTTCCATCTTTCAGATTGGAAGATCAGACCAAAAAACTTCAGAAGGATATGAAGAAAAGCACAGATGCAGATTTGGGTATGTGACTGGAAGGAGACGTAGACTGTGAACTTGGCCACAAAGTAGACGAAAGTGACTTTCTGGAGATCACATGAGTAATCTGTGACAAGTCTGGAAAACAAATCTAGATCTCAGTCCCACTCAGTTTGCTTAGTTACAAGGCCATCTGCGTGAGGGCTGCCGAGCGGCAGCTCAACCCAGGGAACAGAAAGTATGTGATGGGCTTTAATTCCCCCCTCTCTTGAGCTTCTCCTCGTTGTGTGGCCTTGGACAAGTCACTCTCTTTTCTTTCCCCTCCCTTTCTGCAGCCGAAAAAGAGGAGGAATTATTCCAGTTCTCGTGTTAGAGCAGTCTCCAGCTGAACTTCTTGTGTTGAGCAGCTCACATTTACCTCCTTCAATCGAGGGCACCTTACTCTGAAACCAAGAGGGTGGGATGAGGCTTGAGGGGGAGGATCTGTAGACCCCCACATAGGTGTTTCACACCCAAAATGCTGACCCAGCAGCGATTCTGCTCCATCCCCTCGGTGACTGCTCAGTTTGGTGGTGGTGGGCGATGGAGGAAGTGATGAAGGAGCCACCTCGGCGTGTTGTGGGTCCAGAGAAGGGCGACAAAGCTGGGGAGGGGTCTGGAGAATAAATCTGATGAGGAGAGGCTGAGGGAGCTGGGGTTATTCAGCCTGGAGAAGAGGAGGCTGAGGGGAGACCTTCTTGCTCTCTCCAACTCCCTGAAAGGAGGGTGTAGAGAGATGGGGGTCGGTCTCTTCTCTCAAGTCACAGGCGACAGGACGAGAGGAAATGGCCTCAAGTTGCGCCAGGGGAGGTTCAGGCTGGATATTAGGAACAATTTTTTCACTGAAAGGGTTCTCAGCCCTTGGACTGGGCTGCCCAGGGAGGGGGTTGAGGCCCCATCCCTGGAGGTGTTCAAAAGCCGGGTTGATGTGGTGCTGGGAGGTCTGGTTTAGTGATGATGCTCCTTGTTTGTTGTGGGGGTGTCTATTTTTGTCAGTCAGGTTGACGGTTGGACAAGATGATCTTTAAGGTCCCTTCCAACCTAGAAGATTCTGTGATTCTGTGACATCTGCCCTTGGGGTGCCCCCTCCCAAGGCAAGGTACCCCCTGCCCGCTCCATTCATGGCTTTTCTGGTATAAAAACTGGTATGATCACCCCATTCAGAGCTTCTCCAGTAGGAAACCGGTGAGGAGGGGAGAAGCGGATTCGGTGGGTGCCTGCTTATTGAACCGAGCAGAAACACGCCGTTTTAAACACAGATGGGGTGGTTTGTGTTTGGTTTTTTTTTTTTTTAATTTCTCTCAGCATGTGGTTTTTGTAGTCCCTCTGTTTGTAGCGGGCCCCCACAGCTCCCGAGCCAAGGCAGATGCACCAGCGCAAACAGGTGTGGGTTGAACTGGTCCCAACGCTCATCCCGTGGGACTTGGGTTGGGAGAGGGGCAGAGGAGTGGGAAGGAGCCCCACCGGGCCCTCCGCCAGCAGCAGGGCTGGCAAATTTGGGGAGGGCTTCCCGTGTTTCCAGGCTCTCACCTGGGTGTGTGTGTGTGCACGTGTGGATATTGCTCTTGCCAGGAAGAAAACGTGGATCCCGGCTCTTCCCTGCCCTCTCCCACCCTTCCCAAAACCTTGCTGGCACCAGCCTGTGCTCACATGGGGAGGACAGTGGGAAAGGCACCCATAACCCCTGCCAGGACTCATTTCCAGGGTGAAAATTGCCCTTTCTGAGGTCTTTGGTCATTGTCAGGGATCCTTGGTAAGTTTTTCCTCGTTAAGGATTCCCCTCCCCTCCCTTGCAGTGGGCGTTGTTTATATGGAGCATTTCAAGTCCCCAGAGGAGCTGTGGGAGGACTTTCTTTTTCCGTTCTGCTACATGGCAGAGTCACAAATGAGCCTTGGCCAGCTCCAGGAAGATCTGATTTCTCATTTAAAGGCATGAAATCATGAGTGCAAGGGAAGGTTTTTGAACGTGGTCTGAAGGGAAAGGAGACGGGTGAGATGAGATGAGATCAGCCAACATCCAGCCTCAGTGTCCGACCAGGATGGGGATCTATCAGCATCGTTGTGTCCTCCTGGACCTTTTATTCCTTCCCCTGTACCTCTGTGCCAAGGGGGTTGATTATTCCCTGCCTACAAACACTCCCTGGCAAAGTGGACCTGGTGGCTCCAGTCTCCACTTTCTGCCAAAAAAAGACTGGGAAAAGACGAGGCCGATTCCTCGTTGGAGGAAAATGTTCCTTCGAGGCTCGGCCACTGCCCTGCCAGAGGCAGCAGAGCTCTCTGTGCTGTGCAGAAAGATCCTTAACCCCCTTCCCCACCCTCTTGCTGCCCTGCCAGAGGCAGCAGCCTCTCTGTGCTGTGCACAAAGATCCTTAACCCCCTTCCCCACCCTCTTTGCAAACAAAATAGGATCTTAAGGGCGTTCTTTCATAGGAGACAAAAAGCCCTCCTTTGGAAATGAGATGCAGGTGACATCCCGGTGGCTCAGTTTTGCTCTGTGGAGCCTGCCTGGCTGTTCTCCACTATGTTTATTGTGATGCAAAGAAGCAATGACTCTCTGAAGTCATCTCCTTTAATTAGAGTCACGTCCTGCACCCTTTATATGCAGCACAGACCCTGCTGAAGCCCACCCCAAGGGGAAGGCGATGCTCTATCCTCTATTCTTCCCTTCTCCTTCTCCTTCATCTTTCCCTTTCCTTCCTTTCCCTTCCCTTTCCTCCCTTCTTCTCCTTCTCCTTCTCCTTCTCCTTCATCTTTCCCTTCCCTTTCCTCCCTTCTTCTCCTTCTCCTTCTCCTTCTCCTTCTCCTTCTCCTTCTCCTTCTCCTTCTCCTTCTCCTTCTCCTTCATCTTTCCCTTCCCTTCCCTTTCCTCCCATCTCCATCTCTGTCTCCGTCTCCTCTTCTCCTTCCCCAGCTGCTCTCTCCGAGCTCTGCAGGTGAGGGGGAAGCATTTCACCCCAAATCTCACTGAATATAGTGGAAAAGCCCCAGTTTTTTGGCCTCTGGACGTGACCCCGCAGCTCCCCTGGCTGCAGCACTCTCAGTCCTCTCTCCTTGGGAAGGGAAACTCATTTTTCCTCCAGCTGAAGGAGTTCTGCCATTCTTAACTCCTTCTCCATCTTTCCCTTTCCTCCCTTCTCCTTCTCCTTCTCCTTCTCCTTCTCCTTCTCCTTCTCCTTCTCCTTCTCCTTCTCCTTCTCCTTCTCCTTCTCCTTCTCCTTCTCCTTCATCTTTCCCTTCCCTTCCCTTTCCTCCCATCTCCATCTCCATCTCTGTCTCCGTCTCCTCTTCTCCTTCCCCAGCTGCTCTCTCCGAGCTCTGCAGGTGAGGGGGAAGCATTTCACCCCAAATCTCACTGAATATAGTGGAAAAGCCCCAGTTTTTTGGCCTCTGGACGTGACCCCGCAGCTCCCCTGGCTGCAGCACTCTCAGTCCTCTCTCCTTGGGAAGGGAAACTCATTTTTCCTCCAGCTGAAGGAGTTCTGCCATTCTTAACTCCGTCCCGTTTTGGCACAAATCCTTCCTCAGATGTGGTCACACATATGGATTATATCCCATCTGTTTAAAGGTTTAAACGCCTAAACCCTTAATGTTTGGATAATAGAGGGATACGGTAGCTTTGTTATTCCATAGTTAGTGTCTCCTTCTGCGTTGAGCTCCCCAGCTCTTTAGCTTCTGAGCTCTCTGTATAATTGTGTGTAACCTTTAAATCAGAATGTTTAACCCCTTGATTTATGATCTTAAGCCCCATTATTCAGATGACTTTAACTTTTAATATCTGAGTGAGTACAGTGGGAGCCTTTCCACAGCTCATCTGTAGCACGGCTAAAGCATCTGGCTTTCTGATCTCAGGCTGGAATAACTTCCAGCCACAGAGCTGAGGAAAAAGAACTTTATTTTTTTTAAGTACCCAGGACTTTTCTTTCTTTTTCTTCTCTATTCCCATTTATATTGATGCTTGCCTTTTTATTCATCTGTGGGGTTTTTTTTTCCCCCTCGTTCTGCACCTTAGCTATTTTCTTGCTCTTTTCTAGTTGTCCTGTCACAGGGGTTGAATTTTCCCTTTGAAGATCAAGTGTGGGGACAGGAAGGGAGATGGGGCTGATGGAAAACAAGCAGAAGGGCTCAGGAGGATGGGAACTGAACACCATCCGTGTGTCACTTGGTGTTTCTAGATTCCCTGGTGACAACCTCAGGGTCTGAAGGACCCTTCAGCCACTGCGTTTTATGGCCTCGGTCTCCACAGGCAGAAAATTTGGGCTGATTGAGGGGAAAACACTTGGCCAGCTCGTGTCTCTGCTGCTCGTGTGGTGCCTATTTTGAGAGGAAAAAGAGAAAACTCGTCTTCCCTTTCCTGTCAGTCTGGTCCTTTTCCACCGGCACTAAATCCACTTCAAATATATATTTTTGTAAAGCCATTTGAAAGACTTAATGGACTGTGATTTTTCTCATTGTGGAAGAGCTGTAGTGAGACTGAGAGTGACACTTAATAGTCTGTCGAGAAAAGACGTATATAAAAAAAACCCATCCAGTTTGTTTTTCTTTTTTTTTTTTTTTTTTTTTAAGAGAACGGTGCTTTTGTTAGTCTGGGATTATTTCTGGCAGCATCACAAGCCGTGCATCGGAGTGGTTTGGGTTTAACATATATAAAAACAGTTCTCTGGGTGTTTGTGTGAATGAATTGGTGGCTCTTCCTTTCTTTTCTCTTGAATATCTTCCTGGAAAGATGGGCTAAACCCTTCCCACTGGCTGAAGTCTTTGATTTTTGCCCAAAATTGCCCTTTGCTGATGTGTGACCGTCCCGTGGGGCAGCTCCTGAGCTGAGCTGTGATGTTCTTTCCTTTCTTTTGCATGTTCTTGGCTCCTGTCACCTCCAGCCATGTCCAAATCGGCTGTCAAAATCTCCTCGGACCTTCTCTCCAACCCCTTGTGTGAGCAGGAGCCCAGCTTTCTGGAGATGGTCACGGCCTTCGACACGGCGATGAAGAGGATGGACTCTTTCAACCAGGAGAAGGTGAGTATGGGTTTGGCTGAAGACGGGGGGAGACCGGGGTGTGCTGGTGGGATCTCGCCCTTCCAGATAGATCCTCCTTCCCTTGTTGGCATCATCTCCAAGATGATCACTGAATCACGGAGTGATATGGGGTTGGAAGGGACCTCTGGAGATCATCTCCTCCAACCTCCTGCCACAGCAGGTCCACCCAGAGCAGGTTGGACAGAAACCTGTCCAGGTGGGTTTGAATGTCTCCAGAGAAGGAGACCCCACCACCTCTCTGGGCAGCCTCTGCCAGGGCTCTGCCACCCTCAAAGTCAAGAAGTTCCTCCTCATCTTTAGGTGGAACTTCTTACCTTCAAGTTTGTGCCCGTTCCCTCTTGTCCTGTCCCTGGGCACCACTGAAAAAAGACCAGCCCCATCCTCCTGACACCCACCCTTTCAGTATTTAGAGGTGTTGATCAGATCCCCCCTCAGCCTTCTCTTCTCCACACTCAAAAGCCCCAAGTCCCTCAGCCTTTCCTCGGAAGGGAGATGCTCCAGGCCCCTCCTCATCTCTGGAGCCTCTGCTGTCCCCTCTCCAGCAGTTCCCTGTCCTTCTGGAACTGGGGAGCCCAGAACTGGTCCCAGTGCTCCAGCTGGGGCCTCCCCAGGGCAGAGCAGAGGACAAGATGAAACTCCATGAGTTTCTCTACAATCTTACTCTTCTTCTGACTGGTTTTACTGGGGATCACAGCTCATCCTGAGCGAATGGGAGGAGTTGGCTGGTTTTTGGTTAAAGGGCATCATGGTTGTGCTCAGGAGCCCACATCATCCCATGGCAGGCTCTGTGCAAACACCTCTCGTTGTGCAAACAGGCTTCTATTTTTTTATTTTTTTTCAACAAGCCTGACATATAATCATCTCTTTTTGCTTTCAACAGGTGAATCAGATCCAAAAGACAGTCATAGAGCCTTTGAAAAAGTAAGTACCAACGTTGTCTCATGAGCCATATCCAGGGTTTGTCATAACCGTGTACTTTAGGGACGTGTATCATCGGGAGGGATGTTGTCAGGTTAGAAATCAGCCCTTTCTAAAGAGGTAACAGTTCACATCCTGGTGAAAAAATGGCATCTTCCTCCCATTCCAGTTGGGGCATGGGGAGCTGGGATGGTTGAGCCGAGTCCATGCTCCTAGAATCATAGAATGGTCTACGTTGGAAGGGACCTTTCGGGGAACTGGGATGGTTGAGCCGAGTCCATACTCATAGAATCATAGAATGATCTACGTTGGAAGGGACCTTTCAGATCATGGAGTCCAACCATCAACCCAACGCTGCCCAAACCACCACTAACCCATGGGTTTGAGCCTCCCAGATGCTTTTATCTGTATTTTTAAAGAACACCTGAGCTGGGTGATGCTGAAAGCATTAAAGCCTCCAGCTTCAAGCACAAACTTGAAGATAAGAAGTTCCACCTAAAGATGAGGAGGAACTTCTTTGCTGTGAGGGTGGCAGAGCCCTGGCAGAAGCTGCCCAGAGAGGTGGTGGGGTCTCCTTCTCTGGAGACATTCAAACCCCCCCTGGACACGTTCCTGTGGGACCTGCTCTGGGTGGCCCTGCTTTGGGAAGGGGGTTGGACTGGGTGATCTCCAGAGGTCCCTCTGGATGAGGGAGGGGAGCCCTAGGTGAGGGTGGTGAGAGCCTGGCCCAGGTTGCCCCGAGAAGCTGTGGCTGCCCCATCCCTGGAGGGGTTCAAGGGCAGGTTGGAGGGGGCTTGGAGCAACCTGGGCTGGTGGGAGGTGTCCCTGCCCATGGAAAGGGTTTGGAACGAGATGGTCTTTAAGGTCCCTTCCAACCCAAACCATTCTATGATTATTCCAGTAGCAGTTTTCCATATTTTCCATATTTCTCCCCGTTCCTTGCTGACCGGTGTCACCTCGGGCTCCTCTGGTGCCATTCTCCTCCATCTCTACAAGTGCCACCAGCGTTACCAGCCATCCCTGGTGTCACAGCCCGTGCCCCCCTCTCCATTCAGGGAATGCTCCAGTCCCTGCACCAAATATCTTCTAAAACCCTCAGATTTTGCTATTTTGTCACAAGAACAGAGCCAAGGGAGTGAAAATAAAATAAAATGACTTTAATATGACACTAAGTGTTGCAAATTGCTGAATAACAATTTCAGTTTAGGTTTTGTCACCGGGTGGTTTTTTTTTGGTGGTTCTTTGTTTTTTGGGTTTTGGTTTGGTTTTTTTTTTTTTTTAATGTTTGTTTTAAACTTGTTGTTTCTGCCCAAATCTGAAAGCAAAATCTCGTGTGTTTCTCTGTGTTTCTATCCGGGGGATTTGGTTGGTGACTCAAGTTTTTACCTCGATCGTTCTCTCCACGACCAGAAATTATTGATGATTTAGGAAAAAAAAAAAAAAAGAAGAAAAAGAAAGAAAAAAAAAAAAGAAAGAAGGAAAAAAAATAATCCCAGACTTGTGCTCTTGTGCTGTGGAATTGTGTTGCTTATTATCTAGATTGTCCTCATGAAAGATACATTAACTTTTTCTTCCAGCATTCTGTTAAAATTGGAAGAAGGGCTCGTGTCTCTGAAATCTTCACGGATTTTGTTAGGGGTTGGGTGGTTGGTTGTTTTTTTTTTTCCCCCAACTTGCTTTAGCTGATGAAAATGAAGGATAATACCTCTCCCTGTTGTGTGTTTTAAACCCTGGGTGGCGTTTGGGGCTGGTGCTCCAAGAAAATAAAGCCATTTCCACGTCGCTAACCTTTTATTCCACCTTTATTTAATGTTTGGCTTGGGCTGCTGGAGCCAGGATGGCAGAGAAGGGGAAAGACCCAGTTCCTCTCACTCTGATTGAGGGATCCATTCAAGACCCTGTTGGATTATTCCTGCCATAGGGAAATTTTGGGGAAATAATGGAGTTTTTCAGGTCAGGGGGCAGTTGGTTTGTTCCTCCTCGCGAGGTTTAACGCTCAGCTCGCCCGTTATTGCTCCTTCCTTAAACCTAAGGGTATTTATTTCACCCTCCTGGCTGCTTCCCTCTCTTGGCAATTCTCTCCAACTTCCTAAATTTCCATTTTGTTGGAATATGGTGGTTTTTTTCCCTCCCCTTCCTGCCCTTTGGCACCTGCAAACTGTCGCCGGGTGCTCTTTAAACAGCTTATATTTCACGCTCGGGGAGGCTGCATCTCCGCGCCGAGCGAAGAAATGTTCTTTTCCTTCCTTTCCCTATTTTTCCCCAATTCCGGGCGAACATAGGTACGTGCACGGCCCCGTCGTGCAGCCAAGGAACATTTTTTTTTGAAGGAGCCCAAGGGTCCCTTTGGAGGCTTTAATGAGATGCAGGAGAGAAATGCCGAGCTTGCACCTCCCCTTGTCCTGCTGGCAGATAAACCCCGGCAACGTTTCGAGGATAAAAGTTCCAGATTAATGAAAGCTGCCTTGAGGAGCTCTTCTTATTTCTTATTTCCAGTTGAGGTATTGCTTCCCCTCGCAGAGACTCTCCCAAACTTGCTTTGACCTAGAAAAAAAAGCTTTTTTTTTTTTTTTTTTTTGCTACAACAGCTGCACTTTATTACATCTTCACTGGTGGTCTCCTCTAGTTTATTAGCCAAAGAAACAGATAAGTATAATCCAGGCAATTATCATTAGTGGTAATATATTGTAATCAGAGGCACATGTGCTGTAAAATCTCCATTCAGTTGTCCAGGGACAGTAGGTTTCAGGCAAATATTGGAGAATTTGTTAAACCACGTAGAAGAAAGCGGTAGTAGATTTAGAGGGGGGGGGGGGGGGGGGGGAGGCTCGTATTGTTTCAATCCTTCTGCTTCTGGGGACGTCGGGTTGTTCAGAGTTTGGCTTTTTGGGCCCCAAAAGAAGCCCTTGGCTGGGAATTGCTCATTGAGGGAAGGAGCAAAGCCCCAAGGAGAATATTGCATATTTTAGCGTGTGGGTTGGGGGGGCAAGGAGCTGGGAAAGGTCAGGAGGGAGCCTCTCGGGGAGATGCCTGCCCAAATTCACAGCAGATCGACGGGTTTGGGGCAAAAAAGGGAGGAGAAAACCAGCTGGTTTTGACTTTGCTCTTCCAGTTCTTCACTCCGGGCTTGGGCGAGGAGTGTCGGCTGTGGCTCCGGGATGGGGATGGATGGTGTAGTGTCAGCTCAGTGTTACATATTGTGTGTTGGTTTCAGAGGAAGGAAGAGGCTTAAATAAACCAGGTGGTTTGGAGATTCAGGGGTTTTAATGCTTTTTCGCGTTCAGAGCCCATTTTCCTTGCTGGGAAGGTCCTGAGTTAAACTCCCCCCTCTCTGACCCTCCCTCAGCATCGGGATGTCGTGGTCGCCCTTGGGTGGTACCATCCCTGGGGTTGGGGCAGGATGGGGAGAGGTTTTGGCAAGGGGTGACCCAAGGGGTGCTGTCCCCCCCCTCCCTGGGTGCCATCAGCCCCGGCTGGGAGGTCCCAAAAATGGAGTCCAGAAGCAGATTGAGGTCTAAATTCAATTAGAGCTGTACGTCAGCAAATATTTACTGGTGATAGGGAACGGAGATGCTGGGAGGGCTGGAGCCCCTCTGCTGGGAGGGGGGGATGAGAGGGTTGGGGGGTTCAGCCTGGAGAAGAGAAGGCTCCGGGGAGACCTCAGAGCCCCTTCCAGTCCCTCAAGGGGCTCCAGGAGAGATGGGGAGGGACTCTTGATGAGGGAGGGGAGCCCTAGGAGGAGGGGGAAGAGTTTTAAACCAAAAATTAGGAGATGGAGCTGAGATTTTGGGAGGAAATTTTTCCCCCTGAGGGTGGTGAGAGCCTGGCCCAGGTTGCCCCGAGAAGCTGTGGCTGCCCCATCCCTGGAGGGGTTGAAGGGCAGGTTGGAGGGGGCTTGGAGCAACCTGGGCTGGTGGGAGGTGTCCCTGCCCATGGAAAGGGTTTGGAACAAGATGGTCTTTAAGGTCCCTTCCAACCCAAACCATTCTATGATTATTCCAGTAGCAGTTTTCCATATTTCCCATATTTCTCCCCGTTCCTTGCTGGCCGGTGCCCCTCGGTGCATCCATCCTCAGTCATAGCTCGGGCACCACCACGATTGTGTCACCTCGGGCTCCTCTGGTGCCATTCCCCTCCATCTCTCCAAGTGCCACCAGCACAGAATGAGATGGTCTTTCAGGTCCCTTCCAACCCAAACCCATATTTCTCCCCGTTCCTTGCTGGCCGGTGCCCCTCGGTGCATCCATCCTCAGTCATAGCTCGGGCACCACCACGATTGTGTCACCTCGGGCTCCTCTGGTGCCATTCCCCTCCATCTCTCCAAGTGCCACCAGCACAGAATGAGATGGTCTTTCAGGTCCCTTCCAACCCAAACCATCCCATGATTCTACGACAGCAACCAATTCTTGGCATCCACGGATGAGGGGGGGCGTCTTCATCTTCCTCCCATAACCCTCCCATCCCCTTGAACCCTCGAGGAGCCTTTCCTCCCGGAGCAGATCACCGGCCGCCAACAACCCCAGGGATGCTGGAGGGACCGGAAGCAGGAAAAGCCTCTTTCATGTCCTTAACGAGCCCTTAATGAGGATTTCGTGCACAAAGCTAGCCACATGGCTGCCTGGCCCCCTCTCAGCCTAATCCCCCACCTCGCTCCTTTTTTTTTTTTGTTTTTTTTGTTTTGTTTTGTTACCGGCGGCTTCAGTTCTTGTTCCTTTCTTTGCGGTCCCCCCCCGTCGGAAGGGCTGGTTTTAATTTCCCCCCCCCTTCCTGGTGGGTGGACGGGCCCCCGACGGACGTGTGGGCACGGGCTGAGGAATGGCAGGCATCCCCCAGCATAGCCCAGATGCTTCGGCCTCGCGCTCGGCCACCCTCGGGCCCCTCCAAACCTCCTCCTCCTCCTCTCATCCAACCCTCCCTTCCTTTTACATCTCACCCTCCCCAGCTCTATTACTCCCTTTTTGCCCCTTTCCAGAGCTGTAGACCCTCCCCGTTTCCTTTTACCT